GCCTTTCCAAGGTTGTTTGGTCTGGTTAGTGGTAAATGCCCATAAGGTAATAGAAACAGGAAAAGTTCAAGGTTGGCACCTCAATCCTAAATGTATCAGCTTAGAAGTAAATTCCATTCATGTCAATTGAACTTACTTCCATTTAAATGTGCTTTAGGTCAGCAGCCTTAAGCATCCTAGAAGATGATGACCACACTTGCTAAATATATAATGACAAAGACACATTTTCCTCAGTTACAGTGTTAACATCTCTTCCTTCTTTTTAAATAAGCTACTTTTCTGTGCTAATTTTTTTTAAACCCTGAGCAAAAGTTACAATAATGCACTTTAATATGGGCAGTGAGCTGTCAGTATGCATCCACACATTAGTAGAGAAAAAAGACAAGAAGTTCTTTCTTAATCACTTTGTGTACTAAAAATAAAAATTTGAAAAGAAAGATATTTGATTGAGGGGGTATGAGGGAAGAGGCTAAAATGAAAGTATTTGTGCAAAAGTTATTCTTAACGATCCATCCAAACAGATCTTAACAGATTTCTGTTTGGTTTTGGAGGGTCTCCCACATCTAATTAGTGTTTTTCAGAATAAAGGATACAAATGAACATTCACCACTGCCCAGACCATTCAGACTTTTAGCTTAAATAATTTTTCTAAAAAATAAACCAAACACTTGCAAGTGTAAACTAGGAAAGGTATCAGCAATGCATCCACAAGGCTTCTGAGTTTAGCGGCTTCAAAGTTTTTCAGTTTTAAATGCACAGTTTGTAAGATTTCTTTTCTAATGTATTTTCTTTGTACTAAAATGTTTTATAGTGAAATATGCTTATAATCTCAAAGTTCAATGAGCTTCAGCATTCTTATCTCTGTGATGTATTTTGGCCAATATATGTGTATGAACTAAAGGATATAATCCAGCAAATGTTTGTCATGAAGGTTGTCCCATTGAAAGCTGTGTATGTGCAGCCCTAAAGGGAGCAAATAACGCCCCTGGGGCTACTTTGGGTTAGGAAAATGACACAACGGAGAGGCGGAAGCCCCTCTTCCCCATGCCACACTCCCAATCAAAACTGGAAAATGAGTTTTCCCACAGCTGTCATCTGGCTGTGGAGAATGCAAGTCAGGTCAGTAGGTCCCTGACCTAACTCATGGCCAAACGTCTTGTGCAGTGTGGCCTTTAGTTGTGACTAAAATGCCTCCAGTTTCAGTGGCACTTTCAATCCAATCCTATGCATATTCACATGGAAGGAAGCCATGATCAGTTTAATTGGACTTGTTCCCAGGCTGGTGAGCATAAGATTGCTGCTTTAATCAGCACTCATTTTGCTGGATTATCCATTTTGAAGTTTATGCCTTAAAATGGTAGGTACCATCTCATAGAAAATCTAAAGTATGCTTTAAAAAACAGCAGTGAATAAGAATTAGCTTTTAAACGTCTTAAGAAATCATATTTTGCTTATTTCCATCTACCCTGAAAATGATTTAAAATATCAAGAGTTACCTTAGTAGACATCAATATTCATATTTTAAAGACAGAATTGTGTACATAATAATTTTTAATGAATCTGATTTTTGTTTTAAGGTGAGCTCCAGCCATTTCAGTGGCACTTGAAAGTGCTTCACTTTTGCTGGGTTGTGCTCATAATGGGAAACAAAAGTCTGGAAAGATTTCAACGGTTTAACCTGCAATTATTTAGCTACAACCCCCAATGTCATTTGAAGTAGCTCGTTCATTTCAGAGCAATTAATCCAGCAGAAGTATGTACAGGACTGTAGACATTTTAACCCTAGCTCTAACAAGTGACTGTACTCTTAACAAGATCTTCAAATTGGCATAGATGATGCAAGTCCCTCCAGTTCCAAACACATTCCATATTTAAGCACTTCAGATATTTTTGTATTTCAGTGACAGAGTTCAATGTATGTTGAACTCGCCCACTGAGATCACTGGGTTTTGGTGCTTACCTATGTCTGTATTGTGCCTGTTACCTGGAAATTAATTCCACTGAAATCAGCAGAATAGTATATATGCAATGGATCCTATGCTTGTTTACTTAGAAGTAAGGCTCGCTGTGGCCAGTGGTACTTCCTCCCAAATAAATGTCCACAAAATTGTGGCCTTGGGATCAGGGCCTACACTGTACTAGAGGAGGAATGCTCAACTCTTTTTTCAGGGACTTCTCTGTTCTCTGGATTGGAGTCTGGCAGCCACAAGGGACACAGACTGACATCTTGACAAGTAGACAAAGCATTCGATAAAATTGGTGCCATCTAGCAGTTAGAGCTTCATGATTATTGAGTGCATGCACTGGGGCTCAGCTGGGGTACTGCACACAAAGTCCAAAGAAAGATGCAACTGAAGTGTTCTCTCTCTCTCTCTCTCTCTCTCTCTCTCTCTCTCTCTCTCTCTCTCTCTCACACACACACACACACACACACACACACACTTTTGCAACAAATCGCCTTGCTTTCTAGAGAAAACTTATTTAGTTGTGTCAATGGGGCTCAGTCTTCAGGTCACCAGTTAATTATCCCTGTGCAGTTGTCTGGAAGTCAGGGACTGACTGGCTCATCTCTTGGATCTGGAGTCTACATACCCAGGGCTCCCATCAGTCTGTTCTCTTCTTTCATTCATACTAGGCTTAATGAGGGTAAATCTCAATCCAAACACAATGCAATTGTATATTAATAAAAATGTTGCCACTTTTTAATGTAGCTATAGAAGTAAAAAATGGAGAACACCTCTAATAATAAAGTGTTAGGATTAGGAATCTGAAGTAATTCTTGTACAGTCTTTCAGTACATACTGGAGTGCATTGAACATAGCTGAAGCCTGTTATCCTTAAAGAACTGAGTGTGGAGGATGGTACGCGCATTAGATGTGAGTGTAGTCACTGTGCATTGGGAGGGGAAAAGATCACCCACTAGCCACACCCCATCCACATGCACAGTCACCTTAAACTTCTGCAAGAGCCTGTGTGTGTAAACTGTACATGCATAGGCACTGTATGTGTTTGGTAGTGGAAAGTGCCATCAAGTCACAGCTGACTTACAATGACTCCATAGGGTTCTCTAGGGAAGAGATGTTCAGAGGCGGTTTGCCATTGCTTGCCTTCATGTCACAACCCTGGTATTCCTTGGACATCTCCCATCCAAATACTAGCCAGGGCTGACCCTGCTAGTATTCCAAAATCTGACAAGATCAGGCCAGCCTGGGCTATCTAGGTCAGGGCTCTACAAAAAGCTCTACAAAAAACTGATTCCCTAACTACACCTACAAAACCTCTATATGTACAGTTTGTTCCCACATAGGCTCTGGCTGAATTACACTGAGCGTGCATAAAGGCAGGTCTGACATACAGTAACATCATCCTTACTAATTGGCAGGATAATACAGATCTCTAATTAAAGGCTGGATCTAAAGGTGCCATTCCGTTGGTCTAATAGCGTTTATGCTGCTCCCATTGATGGAGGAGGGAGGCATGATTTTTGCAGATTGTCCCTTCCTTCTACAATCTCCCACTTTGTCCTTCATGCTATTCCAGAGGGTCCCTGGACCCCCAAGGGCAGAATTTGAGGGGCGGGCAGCAGGAAAGAGAAGCCGGGAAAGTCCTGCTCTTCAAGCTTCACTTCACTCATGGTGATTTAGATCAAACCCTTACCCTAAGTGATTACAAGAACACAGTAGTATGTTACTATTTATAGTATCATCTATCTATAACTCATGGGGGGGGGGTAAAATCCATACAGGGTGAAACAGGTGACTGACTGTGCAATCCTATGTAGAGTTACTGCAGTCTAAATCCATTGGAATCAATGGTGAATTGAAGTAACTCTGCAGAGGTTTGTATTACAAATTACCTCTAAGAGCATGCACCCTGGCATTGTATAGTTGTATCATGGCTCCTAGTAAGTGGTTGTCTGCATCCACCCTGTTATAGACCTTTGCTAAGTCATTTATACTGACCCTGATATACATGGTGTCTAGTTTTGTGGTGGTTGCTTCTCTTCTTGGTCTGGTGTGGCTCCGTGTGAGTGGCACATAGGTCACATTTCTCATTTATCCTAACAAGCAGGTGCCAGTTTGGTATGTCAACCAAACCACAACATGGTGTGGTGGTGATGTGCAAATCTCTTTAATTTCCCTTGTTGCAAATGAGTCACAGATTCACTTCACAAAAACAGGAGGCCACTGTGGTCTATAGAACAAAGGGATTGCCATGAACCAGCAGCCACATTAATCATACTGACTTGCAAGCAGATAAAGGTGTTTCTGGCATCACAGTTTTCATCACAGGAGTGACCTGCATGTACTTCTGTAAATGAAAAAGTAGCATTTAAAAGCAGCCTTTAAGGCTGCAAATTTTCAAAGAAGTAAGTTCCACTGAACTTAATGACAGGGTCAGCTCTATTATGGGATAGAAAGAGGCAGCTACCTCATGTGGCAGATGTTGGAATGCCAAATTGTCAGGTGTCCCCCCCCCAACTGCTAGGGATTGGCACTGTTTGCACTTTCCATTTCAGGCACCAAAATAATCTCCAGCCCTGCTCAATGGGACTTGCTCACAAGTATATCATCTTTAAGATTAAGGTGCCAACAGTTTGAGGAAACCTGTGGCTTTGTTTGGAAACACAATTCTCCGACTTCCATAGTAACCAATATTTTTTTCAAGATTCTGGAAATAAGGAACATACAATTTTAAGAGGCACTTAATAGAATGATTCAAAACTCCCTTTAATTAGGCAATGAATTTTTCTTAAAAAAAAAGTCTGAATACAGTTTATAGACAGAGCATGTAACTTTATAATATAGTTATGTTACTGCAAACTCATTTGCCAAGTGGCTGCAAATGCTACACACCAAGCTGGTTTTCCCCAAATAATGTGTGGGTTTGTTTTTTTAAAAAGTCTTGCAAATAATATTAATAATAATAATAATATAATAATAATAATATGACGAAAGAAAGAAGAAAAGAGTAAGAATTTGCTTTTAAAAAGTCAAATGTTAGAAAAGATTTGTTAAGGTAGTTTGTGAGGGGCTTCCGGAATCGTGGCTGTCCAAGTTAGAGGTCACTGATGATACTACAGTGATAGTGGGATTGGTCAGGTCTGTTAAAGTGGTCGCAGTGCCGGGTGGAGTGAGAGCGCCGCTGTCTGCTGAGGGCGGTGCCGGAAGTGACGTGCCATCAGCTTTATCAACACCCCCATTCTCCTGTCGCAAAAGGTTCCTTCTGAATTTGGCTCTTGCGTTTTGGAACCAAACCTGCAAACCAATCCCAGTTGATTTCTTTACCAATGTTTGTCTTTGTTTTGACTGATTCTTTTTCTTGTTTTGCTTTAATGCATTTTTTAATTGTGAGATTTGGTGGAGGGATGGGGACAAATAATTTACACCAGTGGTTTTCAGGTCCCCAGAGAACTCTTTGCTCACTAACTTGTTTGCCATTGAATGCTTGCTGCCATGTTATGGAAACCCAATGCATTAAGATTATTCTGGGGCATGTGCCATTCACATAGAACACTGCCAGGCCTAGTACAGAGTCTCGTCGCTGTCCTATGAGAACTAAGAGAACATTCTGGAGTACACTCTGCTATACCTTCCTGCAGCTGCACATGGGTGGGGGCAGTCTATAGTGCTGGGCAAATGACCTCTTGGGGAAGCTTCTTTGCAATTACTAAACTTCTGATTGAGAAATCCTGCTAAGTCCCCAAGAAACTCCAGGGTTCTTGTGAACATAGTATGAAAACCACCATCATTTGAACAATTTTCTTTTGCTTTTTACTTTCTTCTATTCATATGCTACACCTAAATCTTCAGGTGCTGGCAAACACATTTCTGGAGCCTGTGGTAAAATAATACTAGAGACAGATTTGAAAAATTCTGTTTACCCACTCATTCTAGAAAAAAAACTGTTTTGATAAGCTAACTTGGGCCCCGGTCACACGAGCAGGAAACCGCGGGGGGAAGCGTGGCAGTGTGCCCCGGGGCAAACTAAGGCGCCGTTACCTGACCAGACCTCCCGTGGAGGTACCGTGGAGGTACCGTGGAGATCCCGTGGGAAGGGAGAGGCGTCGATCGCAGCACAATCCCGCGCGCAAAAACGAAGCGCGCGGTTCGGCAAACTGGATTTTTTTTTTTCTGTACAGCACGACTGCGCATGCTCGGTAGGGTGCTTTTGCGCATCCACAAAGACATGGGGGGAAAAACGTTTTCGCGAGGACGGGAACATGGGCGGGCGCCGGATGCCTCCGGAAACGCGATCCGACGCCTGCCCTTGCCCCGCGGCTTCCGGATACTAGTACCTCCGAGGTACTAGTATTTTGCTGCGCGGTTTCAGCGGGAAGCCTCGTTTGAGCCCCGGGTGTGCTACGCTTCCCAGATGTGCTGGTGGGATCGCGTCCGGAAACTCCGCATGTCTTCCGTCTGACTAGGGTGGCTAATGTTCCGTGTGACCGCAGCCTTGCTTTTTTTTTTTAATTGCCACAGCATTTTAGTAAAAGGTGAGTGGACTGAGGTTTGTGTTTGGGACTGTAAATTTACCTCAACATTTTAAATGGTTAAGAGCAAATGCAGGAGGAAGAACACCATCTCCCATTTTCTTATGTGGATAGCAGAGAGGGAATTTCAACACTGTGCTGGTGTTCTCTTTGATTTTTGTCACATCCATTTGCACATAGTCCAGGAAATTAATTTCACTTAAACCTCCGCTATTCATTTTTGCTGACTTTTATGGATCTGACATACAGTATATTAAAAACTATTCGTAATGTTAGGATGTGATTTGCTGTAGTATATGAGGCCTGTAGTATATCTTGCATTCGTTTGTAATAGGGACTTTTAGTAATATCAGACAAATAACATCTCCAGCCAACTCCTTGTTGTCTTGTGTGGCTAAGAAAAAGAAAATTGTGTGTTTAAGCAAAAGAAAATTGTTCAAATGATGGTGGTTTTCATACTATGTTCACAAGAACCCTGGAGTTTCTTGGGGACTTAGCAGGATTTCTCAATCAGAAGTTTAGTAATAATAGACTTTCTATCTATCATCTTTACATGGTGACCAGTACTTTGGAATGTGTCACCCAGTGGTGAAATATGAGATTACTTACAGCTTAGAGATTAATCGAAAGATGTTCAATGGCATGCACTCCAAAGATACGCTCATCATGTAAATATAGCTTGTTAACATGTTTTTAAAAACACATAAACCTAGTACAGGAATCCAGTCTTAGATGCAGAAAAAATTACCAGGAATTCCATGTGATGTATCAATTGCTGGATTGCAGGCAGCAGGTGGGGAGATCATCTGTTCAAATGCTCCCCTTGTAAACAAACACACAAACAAACAAAGTACTGTCCTTCCATAGTAGAAGCTAGCATGTCAGGGAGAAGCCAGAACCTTTCCCCTCTCCATTCTATAAAGCGACTGGGTTTATGTATGTAGAATAGGTTTTTCTATGGAGGAGGTTTCAGACATTCTATCCCTGCCTACAGTCTGAAACAGTCCAGTCCAGCAATAGATATATGACATGGGATTACCAATCAAGAAAAGCATCCCTTACTGTAACTTAAAAGGAGGATCCTCAGTATTACTTGTATCCAACAAATGTGGAAAATTTCAACAATTAAAAATTATGAAAACTAAAACATGTGTTTCACATAACAGGGGAAAGCAAAAGATTTTATTTACAGTGTGCCAGGGTGCTCAGTGCTAACAACTCGTTTGCCTTAAATGGGCAATTAAAAGCTGCTATTTAAATCAGGAGGGGCACCGCATAAAGGTTACAGATCTTCCACCCTGATCGGAGCAAAAGGTTGTTCCTGTCAAGGGTGGGATACTCCTTCAGTCCCAGGAGCTGTAGACTCATACCCCATTTCACAATTTCTTTCGTGCATTTGGATCATGCAGTACAAATGCCTTAACTCTTTATCTATCTGTTTAGGGACAGCATTTATTAAGCTAGCACTAGGGAGATACAAAATCTTGAAATAAGGGTTGTGCTACTTTTAGGTGGGAAAGAGGGTTTGGGAGAAAACTTGTAATGGAGACCTCTTACCTGCAGAACTCTCTTGGTTAGGCCTGTTTTCTGGGCAAGTTGTTTGAGGTCCTTGGCATCTGGGTTGTGATTAATGGCAAAGTAGGACTTCATGGTACGGAGCTGGTGGTGTTTAAAAGAAGTGCGCATACGCTTGGTCTTCTGAGACGGGGGGTAAGGCTGCTGGTCTCTGTCCAGATGGTCTGTCTCATTTTCATTACAACCTGTTCCGAAAAGCCACACAAGACAACAAGGAGTTGGCTGGAGATGTTATTTGTCTGATATTTTCCTGTGCCATTTTAAAAACGGTAGAACAGGATAGAAACTGACGTATTTCCCCACATTGTGGGAAGTTTCCCAGGCCTGTTGTAATACCATGGTTGGCAACATGGGATGCATATTACCATATTACCCCCTGTGAATAGTTATTTTCTAGAAAAGTTAGCACACTGAAGATCTAAATAAACACATTAGGTGGCAGAATCCTAGATTCTTGATTCTGCAGGTGACTACCTTTCTGAATGCTGATCTTCTTATTCTTTTTTTTTAAGCTCTCTATATATTATAAACTAGTACACTGAGGGAAAGACGTATTCTGTAATCTGTTTGCTTTTCATATGGAGGAAGGTATTTTTCTTTAACTTGGGGGAACATTCAGAAATATCACAATTGTATACATACATGACACCTGTGCCCTGAAGTTTTGCAGTCCAGAATTCTACGACCTCTTTTAACGTTAAATCTGCCATGACCCTGAAGTGACATAATTGTTTTGCAGTGACACTCTAACAGTCACCCAAAATGCTACGGTTTAACCATAGCATTTTGGGCCAATGTTAGAGCATTACACAGCTTGATTATGTCAATTCTTTGTTGTGCCAAATGATACATCATGGCATTGACACAACACCAATCACCCTCTATTTCTCCCAGTATTTTCCCCTTCTGCTCAGCCAAGCAGCAGTAGGAAAGGATAGATGGGGGTAGGAAGTATTTCCCCAAAGGCCTGGTCTCCCTAGCTCATAACCTGGATCGTTCCTACAATAAAACCTTTATGTCATACCACGCTGTCATTGGCCATCAGTTTTTTTCCTGCTGAAATAAAGAATGTTTCTATAATTTTTGAACAAAAATTCTGGCTCAGGCTTTAGTGAAGCTTGAGAAAGATAAGACCTTAGCTACAGTACCCAATGAAACCACTACTACAGCCATCCTTCCAGTTCTACTTTATCCATGGGTGATAAAGGTTTTTTGTTTGTTTGTTTGTTTGGCTTTTCTTTGGTGGTAGGGCTAATTCTTTTTTACCTTCATGAATATAAAATTCACACGTGGCAATGTAAACTACATTGTAAACTACATTATGCCTCCTACTCCTCCTTGACATACATTATGTGTTTTAAGTTCTGTGCACGGTTAGTCACACCCAAGTTCAAAACAGTCTCATAGGAAATGGCTTTTGAGATCACAAAGGAGCATATGAATAAAACAAGTTGTTTAGGCTGCAATCTTAAGAATACTTTCCTCAGAGTAACCCATATTAAATAGAATAGGATTTACTTCCAAGTAGCCCTGACCTGGATGGGCCAGACTAGCTTGATCTCACCAGATGTCAGAAGCTAAGCAGGGTCAGTCCTGATTAGTATTTGGATAGGAAACTACCATGCAGAGGAAGGTAATGGCAAACTACCCATATTAGTCTCTTCTCTTGAAAACCTCTCTCTAGTTGCTGTAAGTTGGCTACAACTAGACGGCAGGTAGATGAAGAGAAGTGCCTTTTAAATTGAAATGCAAAAGGGATCATCATAATCTTTTCCAGCTTTAAAAATGTATCGTGTCCCATGGATCCACATCTGCTAAGGGAGCCAGTGTTTTGAGAGCAAGCCTGCCAGGTTTCACTCTTTAGCATTATTTTTAAGACAAGCCTCTTCCCTGAGGGAAAAGAAAAACTTTGCTGTGCATTCCCAAGGAATCATTTAAAACCTTGCTCATAATATTTTTGAAAGTTCACTAGCTAAAAATCAGCCAACTGTGGCTAGACCTACGTGCCATGCAGCCACCTCCAGAATCTAAAAGTCATTTTTCTGCAAAGTACAATTTGGAAGGGGTAGTTGTCAGCAGAGAAGATAGAGAGTACTTAACCTTTTCTGCATCCATCACATTTCCCCTTCATCACCTCACAGCTTGTTTTTATCACATGGGGGGAGGGGCAGGAATCCCTGTTTCAACATTTCAGATCCATGTTTGAACCAGGAGTGGCCTCAGAAACAATAGTCCTAGCCTATAAATAAATAATAAAAGCTATACTATCCTTTCAACTGGCTCCAGCCTACCCCTGAATTCTAAGATTGATCTCCATAGCTAAGAGACCTTCACATATTACTAGCACAATACTGTCTTCATTCACATGCAATTCACATATGGTAGTCATATATGTGGCCTTTTATTTCTTGCTCCATGTTGGGAAGCTGTGATGGGCCTCAGGTTCCCAAAACATGTATGCATCAAGTAAAAAGCTTACATCTGCGATTGTTACGCAAATGACTTCTTAAGTCCCATACTGAAGTGCCTTGGGTGCAAAATTCTGTCACGTGTGAAGAGACTGTACATCAGGCCTCCATAATATATAACTCTAGAAACTAAACTCAGACCACCAGCCATGTGTGATAGTCCAGCAAGAACTTGACATATCTCCTATTTACTTCCTATATGGGATTTCAAGGGCAGCTGGGCTGTATTCAGCTTGAAGTTCTACACCTATCAGGCAACATTTCAGAATAAAAAATGTTTGCTCTGCATAGGTCACGTTCACACTAGGCGATTTGGGCCGGGAGCGGGAAAGTTCGGGGGCGGATCAAACCGGCGCGATCACACCACAACATCTGGGAAGCGTCGTGCTTCCGCCGCCCGAACTGGCCCTTCCCCGCGAAAATCCGCCTCAACTTGCAACCACCTACCTTGGTGGTTCAAGGGGAAACGGCGCGGCAAGCCGGGCGATCACAACCCCGGCCCGTAGCCAAACTGCGCATGCTCCAACATGCGCAGTTCGGCCGGCTCCCGGTCAGGGCCGTGTTTTCTCCCCGGCGTTTGATCGTGCCGGGGAGAAAAGGCACAGCGGCCAGGGGATCCGTGGGATCCCACCGCAGCGTCTCAACGTTGGCGCGGCTTTTAAAAGCCGCGCCTTTAGAGGCTTTTCCCCTGCCGTGTGGCAGGGGCCATAGAAGATTCTAGAATGGGATTAAATTGGCAAGCAATTTAATATCAGTTCACACGAGGCCTCAGCATTGATGTTCTAGGCACTATGTTGCAAGGTTGTAAGCCTTCAGGTATAAGGTATTAGGCCTGTAGTCCATTTTGCTCCCTCACATCTACCACCCATGAAATCATCATGTGTGATGTGGACAACTTACATATATGTGAAGGTTTCACCCATGTGATCAGTCAGTGCTGGGGGAGACCAACCAGTACATGCATGTGGGCCTTATGTCACACATTATGCTCTGTATGGGGAGAGGGGAGGTGCGAATCATGAAGTTGTTTCCATACCTCAGTGAGTCCTGTATACCACCACCTGCTATGTCACAAGCCCCCATACAGCCACTTCCCCCCCCAATATACACACTGAGGGAGCAAGAGTGCCACAGCTTCTTCATCCCTCAGCAAGCAAGGTGAAAGGAACAGGAGGAAAGCAAGTTGGGTGGTGGAGAGGATTTATTTTTAGCAAAAGCAGGGCTCTTCTTCTTCCTGTTACGTGACTGATGCCATGTTACTTCCTGTCACATGCTTTCACTTCAGTGGTTCAGGGTGGGTCCTGGGTCTTGAGAAGTTGAAGACCACTGTTGTATCCTGTGGAGAGTTGAACCAGCCCTTAGAGGCACTGAATTGAAATCCACAGCAGCTTTCCATTCTGTGCAAACTGCATCACTGACATTTGAAAGTCTCCTTAGCAGGATTATGTGTTTGGGGGGAAAGGGATATATTGCAAACCATTCCCTCCTGTGTTTTTTTGTGCCACTGACACTGCAGCTGTACTTGCACAGCTGAACTGAACCAGGTACCAAGAGAAATAACAAGTCTTCTAACACCTTGATCCTATTATGTGGGAATAAGTGGATACTGTTATGGGGATGCTGTGCAATGTGTTTAGGACTGTGGGTGTAAGTAGATTTGTTTTAACTATTAAGCATGGGGGGGAAATGTGATCACTTTTCAGGATCTGTTTAGCAAAGCCAGCTCAACCCTGTGGGAAATGGGACAAGACTTCAACAGCACTGCTTAGGTCACAAAATGACCAATACAAATTACAAGAAATGTAAATGACCAGTTGTAAGGGAATTTAATTAGCCCGTATTTAAAGCATGTGTGTGAGTGTGTCAGCATTATCTGATTTCCACACACACACAGACACCTTGGACTACTTCCCAACAGTTGGCTAGATTTATTCAGGAAACTCAGCCAATCCCCACCCCTGAGAAAATGATGGAAAAGCATACATTATACACTGAACATTACATCAGTCCATGGAGACTGAGATTTTACAGTTTATATATTAAAAAAGAGGTAAAGCATCTCACATCTGCATTTACCCTCCCCCTCCCGTAGAAAAAGAAAATCTTTAAACAGTGTTCTTTCTACTGCTTTGTGAAAGGCAAACCAACAAATACAAGTTATCTGGTCCTTAAACTGTGGTCCCTCAGTGTGCCGTCAAGTGGTTCCTGAGATGTTAATTAAAATAAATGAACCAAAATATGAAGATCCTGAGTTTTCTGGGAAGTTTGTTACATGTTGAAGAGGCAAGCTACTTTTTGGTATAAATTGTTAACATTTAAACTATACAACAACAGAGCACTGGCTGGGAAAGCTCATAGGTGAAATGATCATCAGTGAAAGAAGCCAAGTGTACAGAATATTTTTTGTTTTTTTTACCATGGGAAGTATTTGTGCAAGGGACTGTTCCTGCATAGTCCCACATAATAGCCAGAGGGTGTCCCACCAGAAGCAAGCAACTTTGAATAGTGGCCCTTTGTATAACAAACATTAAAGACCACTGTGCTTGTTCACAGATTCTCCTTTTAGCATGTCAGAGGATGAGATTAATATTCAGTAGAACACATTAACTCTGGTGCTTGGGGGGGGGTCAACAGTGGGAGGGCTTCTAATGACCTGGTCCCACTGGTGGACCTCCTGATGGCACTGGTATTTCTGGCCACTGTGTGATACAGAGTGTTGGGCTGGATGGGCCTTTGGCCTGATCCAACATTGGCGTCTCTTATGTTCTTAACTCTGGATCCAGTTCTTTCAAGTGAAATTTTACTTGCATTATTTGCTGTGAGGTACCTTGATCAATTCAGATCACTAAGGCTGAAGTGGGTACTTCCATTCTAGCTTTCTTCTCCATTATCGACACCATTCACTCATGCAGGTACTTCTGAGAATCCAAAGTATGTTTTTCTCAAACAATTGTATTTCTCCTTGGATGGCATCTTTGTTTTTTTTAATTGTTTAGTTTTAGCTAATTTTGGACCTTCTATCATAAGTGCGATGTAGTTGTTTTATGTCTGAACTAGGGATAATTCTTTTTGTTTTGTTTGTTTTCAAATTAATGTTTGTTCCAAAAGCATTGTGTGTTACATTTATATTAAATATGTTCACTTTTTATTGCTATAAACCATTTTTGTTTCCACTGATTTCAGTGGGAAACATTTCTAGCTGCAACATCTTACATCCAATTTAGATCAGATTATCAGGGACTGCATCCCATCTAAGAGATCACTGTCAACTTCACATCTTTATTAAAAGATATACTTTGTGTAGCTCATCAGCACTCTCATGGACACCCTGCTTTTCAAAGCAATGTCAGCAATGGCATGGAAACTCTTATGGGGGGGGCAGATGGAGTCCCCTCAGCAGCAGGAGTTCTAGTTAAGGACACAGTGGCTTTTCCCCTCCCCTCCCTGAGACAGCAGCAGTGCCAGATTAGAGTGCTCTTTACAGGGAAAGGGGTGGCCAATTGAAAAGGAGGAAGGTGAATTGGTGAAGTTTCTCCAGTTTAGTTATGCCTTCTTAAGGAAATCCACAGCACATATACAATTAAGACCAGATCAGGCTACTGTTTTATAATGTTAGCAAAGAAAAAAAAAATCCCATTATCTAGAAGCGCCCACAGTGACTTCCACAAAGGCCACATAAGAGTGCTGTTTACAGGAATAAGCTTTGTACTCCAGTTTCCAGAGCCCAGTTCTCAGATACAGCCACTGGACCATA